TTTCAGTGGCTAAACATTCAGAAGTAGTTTGCCTCTACTTCCTAGTCTGTCTTATTCTGGAAATGCATCGGAAATCTGTCTACCATGGGTGACTCTGATGGTATTTCAAATACTGATGGCATATCTTCCAGCATCACAGCAACTTGCAAGCCATCATATTATGACAAATTGACATATGAGTGATGGATTAATCATTTTAATACAAAAAACAAAAACCCTTTTGCCACTGAATGGATCCCAACTCATGGCGACTGATTGATAGGGCTCCTTATGTAAAATCAGCAGAGTTTTCCTCCATTGGCTACCAGATAGTTTCAGACTGCCAACCTTTAGGTTAGTAGTCAAGCACAAACCATTTGCATTGTTAAAATGTCTTGCTTACTTAATACCATTCTGTTCTAATTGATGTATGTGTCTCTTGCCTCCTCAATTCAATTGTGAAGAAAAAAGCAGAGCTATATTTTTAATAACTTTTACTATCTCCTCAAATAAATGTGCTTAATAAAAATATGTTATATATCCCATGAATGACCATTCATTCAACCACCTCACAAACTAGAAACACAATGAAGAGAATCTAATCTTTATTCCTTTCTTTCGCCAGGAAGATATGAGTAGCTGAAGTATTTGGTGCTATATATAGTCAGTTGATGTCAGCTGGATGCCAGTCTTTTCAGAAAGGCTCAGTACCCACTTTGAGTCAGAGCTATCGACCATGCCGTCCCAAGCTCAAGGATAAAAGCCATCAGGCCCAAGTTCCATTCATTTTCCATCTCCTGAGCCTTTCCTACACAAATTGGAAACCATCCCTCCTGAAAAGCACGGTCTAACAGTAAGGTAAGTATAATGTTTCCTAAAATGTTATATTAGTCACTTGTCCAAGGAGGTTCAGAGTTGTGACTCAGAAAATGTGCATTCTTTTCTTTAAAGGACAGCTGTTGATGTCAATATCAAAGTGCCACCACCAAAGAATTCTGGTATAATCTGGTGTCTTCTCTTTTTACTTACAGTTTGCTGGAATTGATGTAGTGTGATGCTGGTGCAAATGAAGGCCAGCAAGAACTAGGAAACAATAACAAGTTAAGATAAATGTGGAAAAGAGAAAGGGAGGGGAAATGGAGGCCAGTTATTTCATTGTTTCTCACTGCCTGATGATCTTTGTGTTAATGAATAGATAAGACGAGGTTTGAAACCCCATGTATCATCCTGTGTTCCCTGTAACATTCACTGTGAATGAATAGCAAGCTCTGTCACTAGACACGGAGTGCATACGGAAATCTTTCTATAGAATGCAACAATAAAGTCTTACTAAAGAACAAAGATGCTCTCTCTCAATGGATTCCATTACCTTAATAATGTCCCTTTATTTTTTTACAGGGAACAAAAAACCATGCTATCTCATAATATCATGGTGAAACAGAAGAAACAGCAAGCATCAGCCATCATGAAGGAAATCCATGGAAATGGTATCATTAAAAATCCTTCTCAATATTAATATAGCAATGATCCTTCCTAACATTATTTACTATTTTGTAGTGTACTTCCTCTAAGCTCTTAACTGCTCTGTCATAACAAAGCTGGAGTTCTAGAGAGTTGACAAATGCCTATGGTATCTAATCCTTTTGTAGTCATCCTTTCTCATTTGACAGCTATTTTCAGATGCACAACTGCTCTAAAGGAATGAAGCAATCTGACAGCTGATGTATACTCTGCTTTGCCTTTCACATTATAAGTCAATATCACTCTCAATATTTTTCTCAGACAGATCTTAAACAATCTCCTCTTCACTGTCCACCCCACTGATCCATCTTAAGTCCCTTTACTTCACATTACATAAATCACTCAAAAATTTGTTCTACTCTTCATTCTTTTATAAACTGTTAAGTTGAAATTCATATTCATTACTTATTTTGTCTACCCTAAAGCCAGTCTTTATATTTAGTCATTGACATTTCTTTACCTAGATAGTTGTGTGTGTCTAAGTATAATCTCTTTTTAATTAATTTCCAACAATGTAGAAAACATTTTCTATAGCATATTACTAAAAGAAAAAAAAAAAAAGACATAAATTAGATGCAATATGTTAACCTGCTTTATCCTTTTCCTGTAAATTCTACCAAACAACACTAAAAAAATAAAGCTTTATACATTGCAGTTTGATTGTTAAAAAGGAAATTCAACTCTGTGCATAAGGGCTATCAACTATTTTTAAAGTAAGAAGCAGACTATCCATATCCTTTTAAGGGCTGGTTGGAGCCATCCTGGATGTATTTGTAGGACTTTTCAGAATGCTTCCTTATTTCTCCTCCTTTGATAAGGTATGAAACTTGACACTGTCAGAGGGAGTGACAGTGTTAAATTATACTGTCAAGTTACAAAATAATTGTCTGCAAACCTTTTGTGCACTGTTTCACCAAACACTTGCCATTTTTGTAAAAATATCACTGCAATTAGTTATAACAACAAAATATTTTTCTAATCCCAGTTTACATGTATAAACTACAAATCTAAAATGCTATGCTAATTTACTTTTTGAACTTTTTAATGCACTCTGGTCAAAGCTGTCATACAATGACACTTCAAATCAGGTGGTTTCATCTGCACATGCTATAAGCATATGTTTTTGTTTTCATTGCTACTGACATTTTTACAGTCACTAATTTTGTTAAATTTTTTGAAATATCTAAAATGATTCTTGTCAGTTACTCATAACTAACAATGTAATCCAGTGCAGGAAGATTTTACAAAGCATTTTGTTGCTAGTATTCATATCATCTTACAAATATTGTTGTTAAGTGCCATTGAGTCAGTTCCAATCCATAGCGACGCTCTATAGGGTTTCCAAGGAGCAGCTGGTAAGCTCGAACTGCTGACCTTGTAGTTCAAACCAACTTTGTAGTCCAGAGCATTAACCCGCAGCACCACACCAGGATGTAAGCAATTCACAACCAGCTTGTTTCTTTTGTTTAGTGCCTTAGAGTTGGTTCTGACTCATAGAGACCTTGTAGAGTGTTTTCTGATGAGCGGCTGGTGGGTTTGCACACCTCCAACCTTGCAATTATAAGTCCAGTGCTTATCCTATGGTGCCACACCTTAATCACATATGATTCTATGATTAAAATGGATAATAAACATTGCTAGGGATTCCGTATGGTCTGGTACAAGAGGAGGTCCGTGGAGGAGGAGGGTGACTCCATAAGTTACCACACTGAATGAGATCAACCCCAGTGATGCCACTGTCTAACATAGACCTGTAAGCATAAGAAAGTATTTCCCCTATTAAAAGGACTACTATTTTTATGAAAAATAAAGAAAAATATAATTAGATACCTGAGGGGTAGGAGGGGAGTTAGTAGCTCACCACCAGCCAGTTCTGGCAGTATAAAGTCTATTAAAGCCCTCCTTCCCAAACCCTTGGAGGTTTTCCAGTCCCTGAAGCAGAGTCCCATGCTCAGCCTTTGTCTGGATATTAAGTGTTCCAGATAATGCAGGAATAGTCACAAACTCTTACTTAAGCTCTGAGATAAAATAGTGGTTGTACTTTCGGAAACAGCTCACATATTTCATTTCCTCTCTTATTTCCTCTAACACCTTGTGAGATACAGTTAAAGGCATAATGTTTAGCAATCTAGAACTAAAAGACGGATCACTATTTCAGATGACTTCAGAAAAACCACATTGGAAATAATCCCCTTACACTTTCAAACACATCACCAAAACCAAAAACAAAACCAACTGCCATCACTTCTGACTTGTAGTGACCCTATAGAGAAGGTTAGAACTGACCTATAGGATCTCCAAGGCTGTAAATCTTTATAGAAGCAATGTGACATATCTTTCTCCCATGGTGTGAATGGTAAATTTCAACTGCTGATCTTTCAGTTAGCAGTCAAATGCTTCACCACTGTGCCACCAGGGTTCCTACTAAACATCTCACCACAGTAAAAATGTAGGAAATTTACAATAAAACATGTGATTTAGAATAAAACATGCAATGTTGTTTTTTTTTTTTTAATTTTAAGACTAAATGAGTCCAATTTGTACTGGATTGTTATTAAAAATTAGTTTAAAAGGATATTTTCAAACCTCTTTTTCTGCATCCTCTCACCTTATTCATCAGGAATTTTTGTTTTCCAGCATTATAGCTCATTTACTTTTTATTTGTATTGTTTTCCAAAATCATTTAACCTGGAGGAAAATGAAATATGTCAATGAGTCAGCTGAAAAAACTGTTTTTTGAATACATTCAGTCCAATTCTGGTAGTTGGGGAGACTACAGCTGGTGAGCTTTTGAGATAAACCAGTAGGGAAATAAAACAAGTGGGAAGAGAGTGTTTTATAACAAATAATCTTCCATCTGAAGGAGAAGTAACCTGGAAGAATTACTAAGAAATCCTGTCTATATAGATTATAGTATGTAAGAATAGAGTTTTTAATTTTCACTGAATGCAGATTTCTGAATTCTGTGGAGGTTGAAAATGACCTACCCAAATGATCACCAAGAGATGATCTTTGAAATTTATATTTTAGCTGAAAATGGTCTCCTAAAAGTAGCCTCTAAGTCAAATACTGATTGCTATGTATTCTATTCTGACTCACAGCAACCCTATAGGAAAGAGTAGAAGGGTCCCATAAGGTTTCTAAAACTGGAATCTTTATGGAAACAGACTGCCAGTAATCAACAGGTGAGTTCAAACTTCTGACCTTACGGTTAGCAGTCCAGAGCTGAACCCCAGTGCCAGCAGGGCTCTTTCAAGTTAAAGAATTGTTGTTGTTGTTAGGTGCCGTCGAGTTGGTACAGACCCATAGTGACTTTATGCACAGCAGAATGAAACACTGCCTGACCCTGGGCCAACCTCACTACTGTTGCCACGCTTGAGTCCATGATGCTGCCACTTGGCCAATCCCTCTCATTGGGCTTCTTCCTCTTTCTCTCTTACCAAACATGATATCCTTCTCCAGTGACTGGTCCCTCCTGACAATATATCCGAAGTATGAAGGACAAAGTTTGGCCATCCACGCTAGCTACACTTCTTCCA